AAACGTTAAAATCTAAATACATTTCATATGTGTTAACTGAGTGTATCTATATAAAACTGCATTACAGTTCATGTGTATTGACGAAGTATTTGTTTTAAATACAACCTCTAAAATAGACGACTTTCTGTTCAGTTCTTGGAAACAAAAAAAAATTACTCATAATAAAATAAATATTTAAATAATAAATTAAGGATTTAATTACAATGTACTTAACCGATATGTTATGAGTTATGAGTCCCGGTCGTTGCTTGAAAGTAGTCGTACACTCTCGAACAGTTACGTGAATTAGCTATATTTTCTAATTAATGTATTATGACATCTTCGAAAGCTTTCTCTACAATATTTGTGTAAACTTCAATATATGTCTAATGGTAATAATTTACATAAAACTGGGATCTAAAAAGAAATTGTAAAAATCTATATTAAAATCGGGTTTTAGTCACCCAATATTATCACTTTTCTAATGTAAATGATCACTGGGTCCAAATTACATGATCTCAATCATTAGTATGCATATCTCAACTTCGTCTATCTAAATATTAACATTGATATAAGAATTAGGCTGGTTTACTCTCATGTTGACCAACGTCGCTGATTGTTAGTTCTTGTTCCACGCCGATTCCTTTTAAGTACAGTCTCGATATTACTTGTAAAAATTATTCCTGTACTACTTTCCCGTAGGAAAAAGTAGCCTGTGTTATTCCGAATCATAAACTACCCATGTTCTAATGTCATCCCGATCCCTTTACCCCGCTTTGACCTTAGCAAGGAATTCCACTTCTACAAACTTTAAACCAAACGCTCTCTGCGCCTTTTTTCTTTAAGGGGGGAAAATCATCGAATGACTGCTCCCGCCTGGGTGAGGCGGGAGTGAGTGTCAGACTCTTACTGACTAAAAACCACCCCGTTACTTCTCCTGCACGTCGTGCCGGAGCCCCGGTTACCCGTTAGCTTCTCCGCGACTCGCTCCCTGCGCCTAGACAATATTTTTCGTATTGACTTATTAATCGGCGTCGACAATCAGCTTGACTCAAATACCAGCCTTATGAATGTATAAAGAAAGTCTATAATTTCTTATTATATAAGATCTTGTGATTATCTCGTATGTATGGAAATGAAGAAAATTAAATTAGTTCTAAGTGTGTCACACATATCGTGCCATGGAAACCAAATACTCAAATGTTGACAGTTACAATGTTCGTCATATATTTGGAATATATCTGAGGAATGCGAGTTAGACTTGTAAATAATATATTTCCCGTGTAAATAACCAAATTCTACTTTGTATTGCTGTATATTCATTCATATTTCCCCTAATACTGATGAACTTCTCTTTTGTAGTCGGTTAAAAAATATACCTAGTAATATAAAGTTTCTTCATTCATCTTTTGTGCAATTTTAACCGACTTTTTAGAAAAGAGAAGGTTTTTCTAATAGTAATTGTAAATCGTGGTCTGCATGTAATCTATGTTAGTAATATTATTGAATGTGTTTCAAACATTGTAACTGATATGCGGTCGCAATTAGTTGTAAGTTTATCTTTATGTAAAGTTCCTCTATTTTTGTCTTTTCGCAAAAAGTAACGTTGTGATTTTAATCTAAGTTTGAATAAATGCGACTTGAAGTACAAAAATAAAGTATTTTGCACTCTATTTGGTGTTTTTCTTCAATGCTTGTAGAAGTTTGTATGGAATCTAATATTGACCTTCTGGTAACATTTATCAACATGAAGACTGCAGTAAAATATTTTACACAAGAAACAATCTGCTAAGTTGCCACTCGAGCCGATAAAATGCATATATTTTATCGCCTCGAGTCGCTAAAATTTAAAAAATAAAAGTAAAGTTTAATCTTCCACTCCTGGTCCTCGTATCCTATCCCTCGACCAGGAAACATGTCTTTAGTGGGAGTGTTTGTCTAGGGGGTCACCACGAAAATCACGATATTTTTTACGATTCATTGCAAGATTTAGGCTAGGACATTTTTCTTGTACGGATATATCAAAGTTGTCTTGTAAGGTGTCGTAAAATAAAACTGCGTAAATCAAGTAAAATGTTTTTATTTAAGTTAAAATATGAAAGCACAAGTTCGGTAATGGGGAAGCTGGCTATATTATGGAACTATTTATCACTATTTGTCAAAAATATTAGGGGCTAAGTTGCTTTAACATTAACGTTTGTCCAACGAGAAGCGAGAATGGCGTATTGAATATCTTAGGTTTTATCTTCGTTATTTGGAATAACCTGTAAAAGTCCTACTTGGACAAAAGCTTCTTACATGGAGAAGGAATGAGTATTAATCACCACGTTTGCTTAAGGCGTATTAGCAATTATAATTGCGAATAACATTTTTCCCACAACGAATTGAGACTAGCCCCCGTAATAAAATAACAAATGATAGTCATGAAGTGAGCTTTCTAATGGCACAAGACGTTGTGGTACATTCTGCCCGGTACATCCTTTCGCACAATCATTTAAAACTTCTTGCTGGACATATGCTAATGGTTATTAGTCATACGATACATTACAGAGACAAACGTGTAACGCATACCGTAACGTCAACATCTTGGTACAAAAGCTTAGTGTAATCGGTAAAGTAAAAGGATCTTATTCTACTATTCTCATTGCTTATGCGACATTAAGGCGCGTGCGGCTTTAGTACAATCTGTAAACGGCGACATATCAAACTATACAGAACCAATTTATTGTGGTCTCCCCTTGTATGATCCTTCCGCACGTTCAACGGGTAGTTGGTAGTGGTTTTGCATAGCTTAACATGGTACCAAGTGTACTATACAGGAACTTAAAACTCTTCACATACAATTACATCGTCGTTACATAAAACATTAAGTTTTTGTACTTTTAAATCTTTTCAAAAGTTGCACGTGAGCATTGACTCAAAAACATCTAAAACTGAATTTTAATTTTTCCTATAAAAATATGTTTTGTACGTTAATATGTGAACTGCTACCCGTAGGCACTAAACTATGTTCCTAATTTACAATTTATGAACAAACATTCTATGTATATAACAGCTATGTTGCATAAACATTTACTTAAGTTAAGTATAGAGGATCACAAATAAAGTAAACGTCGAATGACATTAAACTAACAACAATAAATAGAAAACAAACCTTCAAGGTACAACATTAATTTATATAAAACACAATTCTATATGGAACTTATATCACAGGAAAATATAATAATATATTAACGCATATTTACAAATAGCCAAATTTCATAGAAAGATAGGACGATTATTTCAAATCCTTTAAAATATAATTAGGTAAACAAAAAATGACCATAAAGTAATGAGTATCTTGCTAACATCATTGTGGCAGTGTTTATTTCATAAGTAAGTACCTATTTACAATAATTACTATTATTGCTTATTTCTTCATTTAATATTCCTGTGTTTTGTATTTTAATCTTTAGACATCACTTGCCGTACCGGCCATAACGTTAAAACAAAATGAATAACAATATAACAAAATAACTAAAATAAAAGTAATATAATAATACCTATATAAATTACTAACTTCTGCTTCTGTGGTTTCGCCCGCGTTGCCGTGGGATATATAATAAAGTAGCCTATGTCTTAGTCCCAGACCAATATCAGCTCTTGTTCTAAATTTCATCCCGATCCCTTTAGCCGTTTGATTGAGTGACAAACATATACACACACAGTCGCATTTATAATTTAGTTAAATTTAGTAAGATAACTAGCTAACTAATATATTATATTATCCATCTATTCTATATAATACTTAGTGCAGACATTCCATCGCTTGCTAATGTTCTGATGACCAACTAAATTAGACCATATGTTATAATGAATGAATTAACATGTATATTATATTTGCCTCGTTGGCCGTGTGGTCGCAAATGCGACTGCCGGGCAAGGGGTCTCGGGTTCGATTCCCGGGTCGGGTAAAGTATTATTGGGTTTTTTTGAAAAATCTCAGCAGTAGCACGGAGTCTGGAATTGTGCATATATGGCAATAGGCTCACCCCTTATTACATTAGACTCATAACATAAATAGTGAAAAGTGGGTGTCACATTGTACAGTGGCATTCAGTGCCGTAATGTGGACCTCTGCCCTTTGGGGATAAAAAGACGTGATGTTATGTTATATTTGCCATTAAACAATAACTTCAATACAACTTCTATTTAAACAAGAGTAAAAATTAGCCTAATTCCATTGTCCATCAGAAACTGCAGCTTATTTACATTATACATAGCAAAATATGAATGTTAGTAGGCTTACAGTGTGCACTGTGTCTGTTTACTACATTTTTGCTACATGGCAAACAATCGCTATAGTTTTTGACAAAAATCTTGTCAGATCGTGATTGGAACGTCTACTATTACTCTATTTACATTACAGGCTATATTGAACTAGACTGGTAACTCCCATCGCACGATATATCACATATTTAAGTACGACATTGCATATACACCCTGGCCTTACATAATACTCGCTTTTACCTACTCTCACTGAAAGGTAGACCTACAAAAAATACGCAATTACAAACATTCAAAAATGTTCTACACAAAATATCTGATGTTCTATACGATATTGCTTTAAAATTAATAATATTTATTTATGCTTATTTGTAACATCTATGAATAGTCTGAATAAGTCACTTGGCATTGGCATTATGTCGCTAATCTGTAGCTACGTAAAATTGTTGTTGCACGTCTATAATCTAAATATTATTATGTACTTCTTAATTTATACATAGGTACAGGGTTCGATTTGCAGTGAGGTGATTTGATTCTTGCAATTTTCAATTCGTGACCTGGCGGCTTACTCTTGAATCTAATTCCGATCAATCGACATTGGTATTGTGAAATATCGTACTCTTTGGTTACAACACTAGCGCCCATTACATTCTTATTACGTGGATATTGAATGAACTAAATGGTATTGAGTTTGGATTTATATTCCGTACTCTGAATGCTATTTTAACAGCTATTGGGGTTGTATAGTTTTAACATTGAATAATTATTCAGATTTTATTAAATTAAAATTGCATTGACATTGAGATTGGTTTCAAGAGTAGGCACCCTGTTCATAAGTTTAACAATAGCTGCTGTCTTTATTCGTTATTTCTTTTCTTGCCTGCATAGCAAATAACTTGACTGACTGAATTTAAACTACTTAGTAAATTTGTTAACTGATAAAATGAACTAATAGGACTTGTAAACTACATTGGCGCCATCTATTGAGCAAAAAATTGTGATGAGGGCTGCCGTTATTTTTTGCTTATGATCGCTAATGTAGCGTATTGTTTCTTTAATATAGAGTTACTGGAACTAAATTACTTCTATCTGAAGAACATCGGTAGCCAATACAAAGAATCAAGTCACCTACCTACTCTACATATGACACTGCTTCTGGTGCTAGTATCCGTCTTTGGTTGAGGCGATGAGTGAGAGGAGATCTGCGGTGTTCTTGTCATCAGTCGGTCAGGAAGGATCCGGGGCTGGCGCGGGAACAGCGTGGGAGAGCGGTGGGGACGAAGACCCTTGTTGAGAGAGTTCGGCCTTCACTCGCCGAGCTATGTGAGACCGCGTGTGCTTGCGTAAGTGGTCCTTGCGGTAGAATCCTGTACATGAACGTGGTAAAATTGTATTAACGTTGTATGGTTCAATCAACTAGTAACTGCGTTTCACCGTCTATTCAAGATTTTATTTTCTAGTTTAATAAAAAAACGGTCTCGGGTTCGATTCCCGGGTCGGGCAAAGTATTACTGGGTTTTTAATGAATTCTCAGTAGTAGCACGGAGTGTGGAATTGTGCCCGGTATATGGATAAATAGGCTCACCCCCTATTACATGGGACTCGTAACATAAATAGTGAAAAAGTGGTTGCCTACCCCTTCGGGGATAAAAATGTCTATGTCAGTGCTCATCAATGGCCCGTGGCCCGCCCAGCTAATACTGAACTATGGACCTCCTTAACATAGGGACGTTTACTAAAATCTTCTAATTGTTTTAATAGTTCAGTTCAAGATAGCTCTACAGCCCGATCTCTCAAATGTCTCAAATGTCTATCAGTCTTGGGAGTTTATATGAAGACGAAATTTAATAAGAAGAGGAAGGAAGAAAGAATTGCTACTTCCAAGTAACTTATCAGATAGTCTAGATAGATCAGTATTTGGCTAATTTTGGTCTTGATAGGTTCGTGGAAGTCTAGAGAAGGGTTAAACGGTGAGAAAAATCTTTTAGGCGGTACGAAGTTTGCCGGATCAGCTAGTCTATATATATAAAAATGAAACCCGTTTCCCGTTGTCAAGCCATAACTTGAGAACGGCTAGACCGATTTGGCTGATTTTATTTGTTGTGTTTGTTGTCGTCAGGAGAAGGTTCTTATGACAGAAAAAAGTCCTGAAAATCCTACGGGAATGGGAGAAACGATTGCGCGTACGAAGTCGCGGGCAGAAGCAGTTATTTATATAAACTCTGTTTAAAAAACGACGTAAACCTCACCCCCGTCGTGGAGAACCCAACGGGTAACCGGGGCTCCGGCTCGACGTGCAGGAGAAGGAACGGGGTCGTTGTTAGTCAGTAAGAGTCTGACACTCCCTCCCGCCTCACCCAGGCGGGAGCAGTCATTCGATGATTTTCCCCCCTTAAAAAAACCCTCCCCCCCGCTAGGTCGTTTTATTAATATACCTAAAACCTCCTGAGTGTCACAGACACATTTCTAAAAACCGCTTCGAAGTCGGTTCAGCCAATCGCGACATAATCCCGCACTAATAAACATAAGTACCTACATAGAGATAAAATGAGAATCTCCTTCTTTTTTGTCGGTTAATAAGTTATTTTTTGTCTCACCTTTCCCACACTCATTACAAACGTGTCTCTTCTCGCCGGAATGTATGACAAAGTGCAGCGTGAGCTGTTCCTTCCTCTTGAACGCCTTCAGACAGACGGAGCACACGTGGGGCCTGTCCGGGTTGTGGGACTGTTTGTGGCGAGTCAAGTGGTCCTTGCGCTTCAATGCCGCGTTACATATGTCGCAGATGAACCTAGACAAAGACAAAGATTATTTATTTGCATTATAAGTTGTACAGATGAGCAGTGAGCATAGTATCAACATGTTTGACCATTACTGGTGTACAAATGTGGAATATAATATTAAATACAATAATAACAGTAATTAACTTTTAAATTGTAACATTCCTATAAGAGACTCAAACCTCCTGACCAGGACAATCAAAGAAATATTACACACACTTGTCATTTACAAAGTCATGAACACTATAATAGCATTTATTAACTAGTAGTTTTTTCAACGCTTGTTTGAATAAGTTTAAATAATTTCTTTACGAATTTTGTTATAAATCATAGGAGCCATACATATCACGCTTTTATGCATTAGTGCTGTTTTAGATGGGTGAATGAATATTTATTTTATTGATAACTTACTGAGCTAAGAGTTGAAGCACTTTTTTAGAGATGATTAATAACGTCAATAATATGATTTTATGACTCTTGAAACCAATCTCAATGTCAATGCAATTTCAATCCAATAACATTTCGATAATTATTCAATGTCAACACTATTATAACCCCTATCGTAGCTGTTGAAATAGCATTCAGAGTAGGGACTATAAAGCCAAACTCAATTCAATACCATTCAGCAGTTCATTAAATATCCATGCGATACAGATGCCATGGGCGCTAATTTTGCTTCTCCAGAGGACCTACGAAATTTCACAATACCTATGTCGATCTGCCCACCTGCCAATAGAGCGGCTTAGCGTCAAAAAAAATTAGAAGCTCCTATGAGGTTCTAGCCTAGGGTGCTCTGTAGGTTTAAACTATTTGCTATTTTTTATTTAGTTTCCCTACCTCCTCTCCATGGTGTGTCCAACTAGATGTTGTTCCAATAAATCTCGCTCCGGGTACGCCATGTGACACTCCGGACAGCAGTACAATGTGCTGCCATCTGTAACAGATTGAGAAGCTTGTAATATTTTATTACCTAAATACATTATATTATTTATATAAAACAAAGTCGCTATCTGCCGTCTGTCTGTCCCTATGTATGCTTAGATCTTTAAAACTACGCAACGGATTTTGATGCGGTTTTTTTTTATAGATAAAGTGATTCAAGGATAGATGAACCCTTTATATGTACAATACATGAATATTGAAACCGTGCGAAGCCGGGGCGGGTCGATAGTAGTTGATAAGGTATACGTTACTAATCTTGCTTGGATTGGCCACCTTCTTAGTCTTGGGATTAGTATATCAAGTTACAAGTTTATTTTAACTAATACAATAGAAATAATAGAATAATATAATAGAGTCGCTTAAGGGGCCCGTAGAATATCAGCGCAAAGTCCTGTTTTGCACATGAACTGGTCCCATTTCAGGGCAGACTTGAGACATGAATATGTATCCATCAGTACTTACTAATAGAATTACTTATCTGTACATGCCACTTGTTTTTTTGGCGTGAAATAAAGTTTTTTTCCTTTCTCTCTTTCTAATATGTTTTAAAAGCTAAGGATAGGTTTTGGTACTTGGATAGGTACTTGAAAAGTACCCCCCTACCCTATTTGTACCTAACTCTATATATTAGTCAAATTCAATACTTATTTCTAGATGTCAAAAACTGCTTTTAAAGGAACCACAGAGAGTTGTTACATGCGAAAATCGAACATACGATGCGTTGTGCAGCACCCAGCCACTATTGACAGTGCCGTTAAGAGTATGAAATGTTAATACATACATAACTTCACGTCTGTCACCCATAGGGGTACACAGAGACTATGGAACGCCAATTGCTACGATTCTTACCTCTTTCGCTTCATCAACAGTCATCAGTCTTTTCATGCATGCTCGTCGGTTAAGGGTACTTTTACTAAAATGTTAAGAGTATGATTTTCTATCCGTGCAAAAAGGGACGCATAATGTTCTCACCCAGAGCAGTAGTAAGTCGTATCTCTCCAGGCTTCGGTCGCGGTTTCTTCTCCTTCATAGATTTCTTTTTCTTCTTCTTTTTGGAGACAACAACAGTGTTAGCATTTTGGTTCACCGTCTGGTTCACTATCGTTGAAGTTTGTACCACTACGCTGTTCACCGCGTTCGCTGGCATCTGAAATGTTAGCATATCATGGTTAGGTGTCGTTATTTCATAGAACAGCTTAAAATTACAATGTTGATTGTTACAGACCCGGTGTGCCCAACATATGGTCTTGGGTATGATTCTCGAATGAATCAATAAATATAAGATAGGTTTTTTTAATGGTATTGACCTATGACAATGTCTATAACCGATCCTTCCCCCTTTACATTACGTATTACATAAGTGACAAAAAATTAATGTTACTTTTCATAAAATATTATTATTAAAGAAGTGAACAAACAATACTTAATTCTTTTACAAGCTACATTAAAAAAAATCGACTTTCCGCCTCTTTGTATAAAGTCGGTTAATTAACATATTAAAATCAATTTTCTCTTAAGTTTAACAAACACTTAACTGGACACCGCATCAAAATCTGTTCAAACATAGGTACATACAGGATGCTTACTCTTAAACCAATCTCAATGTCAATGCAATTTCAATCCAATAAAAACTCAATAATTATTCAATGTCAAAACTATACAACCCCCATCGTAGCTGTTAAAATAGCATTCAGAGAACGGAATATCTACACAATACGGATGCAATGGGCGCTAGTGTTGACCATGGACAATATCTCACTTCATTTTAATTTGTTAGCTTTTTTTATTTTCTTTTTTATTTTTTAAATATGTTATGTGTGTTTTGCGCAGAAATAAATGGCTTTTCTTTCTTTCTTTCTGTTGCAACTCAAGAGTACCAAATTTCACAATACCAATGTCGATCGATCGGAATTGAATTCAAGAGTAAGCCTCCAGGTCTGAGAACCTCCGCTTTTGAAGTCGGTTAAAAATAAATGTTAAACTCACCGCAGTTATGGTAGGCATAGCATTCAACGCGTTAGCATTCACAGTGGTCACTAGAGTGGGCTGTTCCTCTCTCTTACTTTCCACCACGTTAGCTGGAGTGGAATACTTGAGGAGGTGGTGCAGGGGGAGTGGGAGGGCGGAGAGGTAGTCCGCCACTCCCCCGCCCAGCGTTTGCCAGGTGGTACTGTCTGTGACGTCACCGATGCCTGACGCACAGGATACTAGTGAATGATAGAGATGGTGTGAACATGGTCATGGTGTGGAGAAAGTACATATAAATATAATAAAAATTGAGAAGATGTATGTATGGATGCCATTGGTATGGTTAATCAAATTATTTAGGTAAGAAAATAAAAATTGATTCAGTACAGTAACATACCATGCTATACCAAATAACTTGGTGACTGCACTTGCTAAACAAAGTTAAATGTCTAATAAGAAACATGGTATGTAGGTATCTACTTTTAGAAATTGTAATTTTCGATAATTCTTAGTAATTAATTAACACGGAGCCAAGAATAATGTAAATTCGAGTACCGAATCAACAATTTAAATAGTAAATAAACAAATAACTAAGTATTATTTTTAACTTAACAAGACTATTCGATCTGCATACCCTGTGCAGAGTTCAACGCTCACCGCTGCAGATGATTCAATTCAAAATAATAATTTGATTAGGATCAATCAATGCACTTTATGCAGTGTAAAGTGATTTGAACTCACTGATGAACTCCGTGGGAGCGGTGGCGGCGGCGCGATCATTCCTGCCTTCCTGCTTGATGGCGCGAGCTAACGCTGCAGCTTCCTTCGGCTCGTGCAGCACTACTAGCAGCTGTTGGGTGCCCTGCTGCAAGGGCGTTGCTTGCGCCACTGCAACATAGACAAAGGTAATAGGATTTCATTTTGTTTTAGAGAAATAAATCTGTGCAATTTGTTGTAAATAGGACAGTAGGTAGGTACAGCTACCTACTTAATAAAACTTGTTTTAGGTGTTATTAAAACAAACTATATAGAAGTATGGTTACTTAATTTTTATTTTTTTTTTTCAACAAATGACATCTTTATTTAAAATAATTTTGTTAGAATACTATGATAGATTCATATAGGTAAAAATCCCTACTAAATAATTGATTATTGACTACAAATGAAGGTGTATACGATTGCACTTACCATTGATTCCTTGGTGTTGTTGCATCATGGTGGCCATGATGTCGTGATGTAGTTCCTCCCGATACTCCCGTTTCTCCGGCCGTTGCTCCGCCTTGAGCTGCTGGTGCACCGTCTCAGCCTGCACGTAGCTTGCCTGCCCTCCATACGCAATGTTGCCCAAGTTCACAGACGAGGAAGCCGATATGGTTTGGTATTTGACGCCAGTGTTCACTGTGAGTTACAAACACCGCGCGTTAACAGGTGTTAGAGTAACAGGTTACTACACGGACACGCAACGCTTAGATTGGTGGCTCTTGATAATATCGCAACAGTCACCTGTGTGTATGGGCGCGAGGCCGGCCAGTGCCACCGCGCCAGGCTGCGCACTGCTGACCACCACCACGCTCTCCGCCTGCCGGAACTTGACCCCATCCACTGCCACAGTCCCTGTGCCAGGCGCGACTGCAAACTGAACAGCCCCGCCACCAGTGCCCGTGGCTTGATACCGTGTCTCCTGCAGCACTCCGCCAGAGGTGCTGCCACTGTTTTCATATCCAAACTTTGCAGCGAACTGGTGGATCGTAGGTATCGCCGCCGCCGTCGGTATGTGGCCAGTGAACGGAGCAAAATTCATCGCAGTTTAGTGAATCTGAAATCGTGGCGGACATGGTAGTCGGACAAATTGTGTTACGTCGAGGTATGATTGCAAGGGCACACGCGAGATATTAAAAAGTGCAACCGTCCTGTCGAGCAGGTGGACCACCGTGCGAACCACAACAAAGTGATTCAAAGGGTGCGGCCCCTAGTAGGGCGCTCACTCAACCCCCGCCATTCTGCCTCACCCCAGTCATTTCTAACGCTTTATTTTTACCGGCCCGCCGTCTCACACCATCGGACTTGAAACACGCACTGAGACGTCGCATCACGAGAAGACACAAACGAATGAAAAGATAATGCGATAGTTACCTGTCTTGTGTCCAGAAAGTAGGTTTTCATGGCGTTTTAATTGTTCGTCGTTGATGAAATAAGTAAGTGGAGTATGTACGGGGTGCGCGGACATGTTGCGCGGCGCGGCGGCCGGGCGGGGCGGCTGCGCGGCGTCACACCGGCAGCGCCGCGGATGGGGACGGGGGCCTCGCCTCGCTCGCACGCGGCGCGCTCTCTGCTACTCGGAGGAGTTACCCCATGAGTTTCAAGATCGTGACAAGTTCAGGGTCAATGTGCCTAATTTACATTTTGATTTCTAGCTGTCACTTGCGGAAGGGTGAACGAGTCTGCAAAAACCTTTTATTAATGATAATTGGGTAAGTAGACTTTGTTTGTAGACGACGATTGTTTCGTAACATTAGGTATATAATTATATTCAGTGTGTATTTGCGATCTACAGCTGTAGCGGTGGGTGCCTAATTTATTGTCTTTCCTTATTGTTAAAGTACGACGGACCGGCTAAAATATTTTGGTAGGTAGGTATCTAGGTATGCACAAATGTAGATATGGGTCATGCTCAAGGAAGATATGTTATTATTATTTTTATTTACGCAATTTACAGATTTGCAACAAAACTCTTGTCGGATATTATTATTTTTTAAATCTACATCTAGGTATTTTAAACAATAAAAATTGCATCTATCTATGCATGAGGGCGCCACTGATACGGTATTGAGATGTACATCGCAGCGTCCATATTTCATAATGGCTGGACGCTATCAATCAATGTAAGGGGCCGTGACTGCATAAATTGAACTTTACGATTGCAATCTGGAAGTAAGAATTTTGTTCTCGTGGTTAATGGGAGAAGTAATTGACTGGACTGTGCTGTGGATTCTTGAAAGGTGAAACATCAGTTAAGGTAAAATATTAATTATTTTATATTTGTGCTGTGCTGTGATTTATGAGCTTGGTCCGCCGAGCGCTATTTGATACCTACGCCGAGATCAGCGTAACAGGAATCAAAGGTGACCTCTGATAATAGGTGACATGGATACTTTCTACTATTTACTAGGATACTAGTGCGAACATTAATAATTTTTATAGGTACCTACGCAAAATTATTGCGCCACTCATTAACAGTGAACAAATATATAGGGGAATTGTTTCATCAAATCTATTAATTAAATAAGATCTTAATACAAAATTATATATATTATGATAAATAAGAGAAGTTATTTAAGATAATATTAGTAACTTGAACGTCATACATAGTGAAATTTTATTTTAGTTCACCTGCGACGAATGAGTAATGGCGGCTGCTAGAATATTCGAGATGTTATATTATGCATGCAAAACATCTATTATTTGTGTTTTTACGTTGTATATGAAGCTATGTGGCGATTGTGGTTAAATTGGTACCTCAATACACAAGCGGAGTTCATATTTTAATCAAAATAACATTGGGGAAGGTCAGGGATTTAGATTTCAGAATTCAGTGGTAATGGCTAAAGCCCAATAAGTGTTGGAGTAAGATTTTTTTCTGAGGCTTTTTTTATTCTTTCTGTTGTTATATTTTTGCGACAAATTCACAGTCAGTCGACGTTGAAAATGAAAAACAATACTTAAAAATCAGTGATTTTATTTGTTTAATCTTATCATCCTTACGGTGTTTTCTTAATAAATAAAGTTTCATACAAAAGTTTACACTTAAACTCCGGACCCAAGTGGTATATGTATTATCGCTATTTCCTACACTTTATAATACTTGCAACTAATTTCAATAAAACCAAATAAAAAAATACGTTTCTAAATTGGTTAACTGCTAACGTTATCTTAAATGATAACAGACAAGAAGTAAAGTTTTCGACCGAAGTACATACGATATGCCTAAACAGTTATACAAAATAATTAAATAAGATTTTGAGATTTAGAACCGAACTAGACTACTCGTGATATTTAAATAAACACTTAAAACAACAAAATGTACAAAAATACAATTAAAAATACTATTTCAAAATCAGAACTTTATCAAAAATTAATAAAGAGTTGGGTTCTATGAATTACATAGTATTAAGCTACCAGAACTGATGACAGGGAACTGATGTTCTTTTATACTTTTATCATTCGATATTAGTAAAATACATTTGAATGGCAATAATATTTGGAAACGTAATTCACGTTTAAAGAGCACCTTAACATTCACTAAAGAAGCATTCTAAGACATAGAAAACATGTCACAAGGAGTGATGCATTACAAAACTTAATTCTAAGTACAAAAATATAATTGGAAAATAATTTACAACTACATTAAAGCTGACAATATTAATATCGTGTGGTGGAAAGTGTAATAAATTCAACATAATTTTGTAATAGCAATAATTGCGCAAATGTGTGACATAATTTCGACTATCTTGACATAAATATAGAAAATCATGTTACTACAAAACCAAACAAACCTGGTAAGTCATAAAGATAATTAATATTAGAAAGCTTTATAAATAAATTTTTCTATGTAACATGATTCCCAAATACTGAAAATTTACCCAATTTCGAGGTGCTAAACACCCAAAGTTGAGTATCATTTGACTATTTGGGTAAATAATCTCCCACACACTTGCGATGAATTTAGTCAGCTCCATAAATCCGTTGAATTATCTTGTGCTAGGAAAAATAGGCCGGTAGAGTTAATTTATCAATGTTACATAATTTAGGACAATATAATGAGTAACTATTGCGACAAGGGGACGGACCATCTTTACAAAGACAATAACAATTTATTTGAATCAACATAATCCTAGCACAGCAATCCACGGATCGTAAATAAATATCACAATTTGATGGAAATGAAAAAGTTTGTATACAAAATAAGAACATGACGTATGAATGCGATGGGAAGCGGGTAATGGTATAAATATCACAGTGAAAATGATATTTACAAATGATTCGTAATATATAAATCAAACGAGACTTCCAGAGTTACAGGTTATTGAGAACATCATATTTGTTACAACGTTAATTTACTGTCAACTATATTGAATGTTTTGATTAAATATAAAACTATATACTATTTGAGTTGATTGATCATAATTGATCTTTTAGGTGAGTTGGAAGAAAAGTCTAAAACTACACATTTATATGATTTTATTTCACACGGTAGGTCACATCTATTGGTTTACAGAAATTATACCTTCAGCACATATCATTCAACAATTTCTACCCAAAAATGTAATAAAACATCGATGACTCAAATTAGCAACTGGAATCACGAATGATTTAAGCTCAACAGCAAGTACAAACGTTTAACGGAATGAGAGTGTTATGTCATGGTATTTCAGTATTAAAATAAAAATTTACAATACATTACGTGATATGTATCTACAAACATTATGCTTCAAGCTTTATCATCTTTATCAAGACGCGATGGATAGAGTTTCGTCTTGTATCCTATATAATTTATACCTTACGAACAACGCATGTCTTTACACAGACGACTTGTAAACTAGTCTCTTCATGGAGCTCATTACCTTACAAGGCCACGACAAACGACAACGTACGTTGGAATCATTGTGGTATTTCATACGAATCACAATATGTTGTAACAAATATTCGATTCATCATAAGTCTAAAACGACTCGTTAACAATTTCCATGTATTCCATTTACTCTGAAATGATTCATATCAAACATCGCAACGTTCCTCAATTTATTTAAATTATTTTTTTACAAACTTTTAATTCGGCGTTACATTTTTTGGGCTTACATTTCAATTACCCTGTAATAATTAAGTAACTGATGTATGTTTATATTACGATGGCTCCATTCGAATCACAATCAACATCAATCATAATAGCCTTTTGTTTATAATTTTACATTCACTCAAATATTTTAATTTAGATCAAATATTGCTAAAGATTCTGTGGTGATATGTTTCAACTAGGACAATATGGACTTGTTAGCTCACCTTGAAACTGTGTCATACAAAGCAAACACGTTCCAATAGGCAGGTTTGCAGGCGTACATAGCCGTCGTCACAATTATTGTCATAAGTTAACTATGCAACGACCTGAGAACGAACCCTGGTGACGTCGCACTTTAGCAAGTAACGAGACACGAGAATGCGGCGGCGAACTATGAATTATTCAATCAGTTAACTAGGTCAAGCAGGAGTGAATAATTGAAAGGGCGCCGACTCATACTGAAACCGCATTCCCGAACAGTCTAAGTTACAATAATTTGTGCAATTTATCAACATCGTAAATACAAGGTAAATCCATATTGCAACAGATTTCTTATTTCGTTTCAAAATTTTAGGTGAACTTAGATTGAACGCGAGAAAAAATAAAGTATTTTGATTATATGCGCATTGAAAATAAACCTTGATCTGAACATTGGAGACTATTTAAGACAATGGGGGATAGACCTTACCCCTTCATGGGGGGATGGTTGTGTGACGTTTAGAGTGCGGCGGGATGCGTGGAGCGGTCAGGAGTGGTGCGCCAGCAGCGCGTCCAGCGTGTCGCCGACCTGCTGGGAGCTGCCGACCTGCTGGGAGCTGCCGGCCTGCAGGGCGCCGGCGCCCGCCTGGCTGCCCAGCGACGTCACCACGTGCTGGGGGATGTTGATCTGCACCGGGATCTGAGAATTCGAGCTGGTCGGTATCTGTAATATAAACATTACCAATATATTAAATTAAAATTTGAGTAGGGTGTGTTTTCAACAGATTTTTATTACTTTATGCTCTTACGGTGACTGGAATTACATAACCATTTGCCTTCAACAGTTTTCTCTTAACATGGAAAGGTTCAGCTTACAAATAGTTTTCTAAGAAGGTAAGATTCGCTTAATAAGTTTACTGGTTAACTTATTCGTACGTACATGTATGGTGATCTCCGGCAAGATATTATTGTTGGCGGGCGCGGGCTGGACGGGTGCCTGCGTGGCGCCAGTGTTCCCGGCGGCCGCCTCGTCCCTCGCTCGCTTGCTCTCGTGCGACCGCGTGTGCTTGCGAAGGTGATCCTTGCGGTAGAAACCTGAAAAATAAACATAAATTGAAGTCAAAGTATGTTTCTTCTATATGTGTAATTTCCTAATAGGTTGAAATTTTACTGGAGATTGCGTTCCTGCACAACACTACTTATAAATTCACTACTTCTTCTGGACAACATAATAATCCTACTAGGTTTGCATCTACACCGAGTTTGTTGAAGGCTTCTGTCCTGTACTGCTAGTTCAGATATCAAAAAAAGGTAAGTTATACATAAAATGTACTAATGTGTATTACTGACAAATAAACGTTTCTAAAACCGACTACCAATTATTTTCTATGACTCTCAGTGCCCTAGATGTAGGTAACTAAGCAAAGATGACCGCTAACTGGCCTTAAATTAAAATAGGTAATGTGATTGAATAGAGATTTTTAGTTACCTTTCCCACACTCTGTGCACATCTCAGTCTTGACTCCAGAGTGGATGACGGTGTGTAGATTGAGATGTTCCCGCCGCTTGAATCCTTTGCGACACACATCGCACACAAACGGTCTTTCTGGGTTGTGACCGAGCTTATGCCGCTCTAGATGCTCCTTGCGTTTTAAACTAGAAAGAAAATAGTCAAACTATGAGTATGAAAACAAAATCAATACGTGGGAAGTTGAGAATACCAAAATCGAAAAAATATGTGAGGTAACAAAATAGTTAAAATATATCGGTCTTGCTTACCCAGCACCACAAATCCCACAAATGAACCGCCTTTCGATCTTATGAACAACGAGATGCATCTCCAGTTGTTCTTTCTCTGGGTACGCCATCTGACACTCTGGGCAGCAGAATATAGGAGTCCCATCCAAAGAGGTTGCGATCACAACATACCCAGGTTTCGGCCTCGCAGGTTTAGGCGGTTTCTTCTTATATTTTTTCTTCTTTTTACTCTGTATTCTAAGAGTGCCGTCTGGAAGAGAAAACGGGGATAGCTGATTTCTACGTACTTTTAAACAAAGCGATCAAAATAAAAATAAATTTAAAACTAAGATGTGTGTGTTTTATTTTGTTATAGTCACACCTACGGATGACAAATATTATTTTTATTTATAAAGTAAGTAGATCATAGTCTATTTATTGGATAGAAACTGTTAATTCACTATTAAAGTTTTATTCAATTAATTGATCATGATATAACTTCGCATTGCCACTAATGGAGGATCACATGATCTGATGACATAGTTTTGTCATGTGCTGTGACAATGAAATTGCGAAGCAATGGCAGTAATGATATGCATTTAATTATATAGAGCTTCATATTATAGCATTTAATTTAGTAGTTAGTAAAACACAAATAAAAAATAAATCAGGGATTAAATCAAATATGAGGCAGATAAAAGAACTTTACACCTCGAAACTGAGTTTAATTATTTCATGACAATAATCATTTATTAGACATTTAAACATTAAGTTAATATCAAGTGCTTATTGCTAGAAGAAGGTACAAACTACATGAGGCGGAAATAATTCACATAGACAGTAGTAAAAATAAGTATAAAATAATTTAGTACAATTTTAGAATTGTATAAAAGGGATTTCAAATCTATAATAAGAAAATACTTTTTCAAAACACAAGCTCGTTTCATTTTTCTTATCATCTCAAAAGTGAGACTCACCGAAAACAACTAAACCATAATAGTAATAACAATTATACAACTGACTGCTACCACATCGTTATAATCGTGTTATTGTCAACCAACTTTTACTAAGTATTATAATATTTCCAAAAAGGAAAACTATTAAATGATAATATCACAATAAATTACAATATTATGGCAACTAACTCTGAGGCAAAAATAATTATAACTTCACTTTGGTTCGTTGTAAAAAATATGTTGAACACTAAATTCCGAAAATTATGATATACATACATATATAAACTCATGCCTGTCCCCATGGGGATAGACAGACTATGGAAGCGAAATACATAGTTAAAACTAGAAGGACTAGGGACGGGATATACATAGTTTAAAGTAATAAAATATAAACTAAACACCATACACAAATTCATTTAATAGTTACTCAAACCACTCCTTAAATAGGGTAGATGCCTAATTTTTATTTCAATGTCCGTCTGGTAGATTATTTTAAATCATTAGACACGTATTTTTTACTTTCTTACAGAAACGAATACTTTCGACGATATATTGATTTGAAACTCCTACACTCCTAAACTTTGATTCGTTTTATCTAAGTATTGTTTTATTATACGACAAAATAAAAAAATACGTGTCTAATATTTTTTCATTACCTAACTTACGGACTAAATATATTTTTAATTTTCATACCCTGTCATCATCCCAATTATTTTAAATAATTTTGGTTCAAAATCTATACTAAGGAATAGTTTAAGCAATCATTAAGAGCCGATTTTTCAATCATCAAGTCAAAAACTGTCGAATGTCAAGAATTAATGTTGACATTTGACAGTTTTTAGTATGGAAGAATTGTCAAATATGATAAGTTATTCCTCATTAAAAATTTATCTAGCGTTGAAAAAATCGGCCCTAAATGTCTGAGTATGGCAGTCATTTCTAATTTTGCATGTAATGTTATGACAATGTAATAGCAGCCTTAAATTTAGTATCAAACTTACAATTACTTATTTAGAAAATATGCATTAAACTTAGTCTTACGAGTTATGTTCTTAGGCCGTATACAGCGAAGGCGACTAAAGGTTAATATATTCACAAAGCTTCATTGATATTATAACAAATCAGCTGATATGTATACACAAGATAAAACACGTTTTATTATACATAGATGGCAACATAATATTTGGAATTTCTCAAGCATTGTGTACAAATAGACCGACATTAACATTAATTAATCTATATTTTTAATTATAAATTCGTCGAAACAAAATAGGGCCCTTCAACAAAAAAATCGTATTTTTTGTCTTGATATTACTCAAAGAGGTATTGATTACTAAAATAAAGCATTTGATTATGTAGTTAACAGGTTCATAAGTAATTTCTAATGTACCAGACACAATTTTGAGCGTTTTATTTAAGTAGGTAAGCAGGAATTTTTATGTCTTGTGTTCATGGTGTAACTGTAAGAGTAATCGTTGAATGTTGCTAGTTATGAGAGTTTTGTTTGGGTCGTTTGTTAATTGGAATGCTATAGCTGATTTTCAATGTGTTTTTGGACAAGGACACCGCCGCTAGGGCAGTTGCTCTACTTCACGAGGGAGAGTTTTATAGAGTTGTAGCAATTTGTGATAGTGTATCGCGAGGAGGTAACTGAAACGTGTGAAAGTGTTATTGAGAGATAGAAACTAGCTCTAGAGTTGCTTAAAGTGACCAGTATATGAGGATTTTTGAACATTAGGGAGCGTTTCGTGACCGCCTGAGCCTTACAAAATCTAATAGGTACTGCATTATCTGGTACATATGCCATTGATCCAACCAATTTTAATTAATTCTGAGAAGATGCCTAACGTTTCAAGTTATGTTTTTTTTAAACTCCAACTCACCAGAACTCACCTTGCAGCTTGTTTAAGGGGTGATCACAAACATTTGAATTGAGCCATGAATACTGGAGGACTTCAATCTTCAAAGATGAAAGACAGGTCAAGTTATTCAGCATTTACAGATGGAGATTAGTTTTGAGACAATATGAATGATTTATGAATACTTGCATTCAAAGGTTGGTTCCACGTTTTCCTTGGTTTCAATATTTATGGTCTTAAGTGGAATTCGCTTAGTAAGCTAGAGACCTGATAATTCTCATAAAAAGTTGGTGATCATTTGGTATTAATGTAATTCTTGTTTGTTAACCACCAATTCGACAAAGAAAAGCTCTTACAATAAGACCTGAGTCTTCAAACTATTGAATATCTACGGCATCATCTAAAAAGAAGCCTAATATAGACTTAAAGTCCAATAAACAATCGACAGGAATTCATAAACAAGCTTAAGGTCTGTTGGAATAGGATACTAGAAGTAATGCTCACCCACCACTTTAAAATTGTAACAAAGTGCTTATGGAGTAAAGAAGGTCCCATTTACTAGTAAATATTATGTAATAATATTAAAAAAGAAAATGGATAGAATTTTACATTCTGGTTATTTTCGTGCAATTGCCCTGAAAAGTGTATTTTGTGGGTATTTCTAAAAAAATCATAACTTTTGAGCCTGAATAAGTCTAAACAATGCCTAAATACCTAATCTAAGCATCTCGGTTCTTAAAAACCAGAAACTGATAGATGTTTTTTGATAAAAGCATAAAACAGGGTGGGCCCTCTTGAGTTTTGACAAGTTTATATATACATATATTAATCCCATTTCCCCTTGGTGATCGTATCACGCGTGAACGGCTAGACTGATTTAGCTTAAGTTAATACTTTTTTGTGACTTTTTTGTCTCTTTTATTGTCTGAAGAAAGTTTTTAAGAGAAAACACTCGGAAAAATAGTCATTAGCGATACCGTGGCGAATCACTATATACACTATACAGTACAATACAAATGTCTAACACTGGGGAAGTTGGGACTTACCACCCGTGCCAAGCAGGGGCGGGCCACTAGTTAATAATTATTGTACACACACATCTTTCGCCAAAAAGGTACTTGAATATAAAATGTGCGAGCATATCCTATAGGTCTGGTTCACAATATCTGATCAAGTAGAGCTTGAAGTATACTCCATACAAAAAGTGTCAACCTGTCAGCAACTTAATCAGAAATTGTGCAGCCCTTAGAGAACACACACACACACACTTACGCCCGAATACTGAAAGGCTACTCAATTTTAAGTGAATATAATTGAGTACATTAAATATGGTGCCAGTTCGTTCATTTTACAAAGAATCTGTAGTCACAGAACTATACTTAGCATTACCAAATTGAGTGGTGATTGAGTATTTGGATATTAGTGAGTTGCATAGCAAGTTTCAAACTTATTAACATTGTCTACACTTAACAATAAAATACAGCAATTACATTATCGTCTATCGTACTAATATACTTGCACATTTAATTGAAACTTACAAACTATTTTTGGTAAATCTAATACTGATAAAATTTTATACAATACTGAAGAGGAACACTGTTTTGGTACATTTCGTAGTTGCAAAGCAGTGTCTTCTGCAGAAAATATCAAATACTTTATAAGGGCTTCACGGTTGTTGCAGTGGATAGGTGACGGGCAGAGGCAAAAGATATAATGGAATTATAGACATTAAAATTACCATTAGTAGGTCGAGGTTTGTATATTTGGAGGTATGAAGCCTCCGTATTTGTGGGGCAAGTTCGCCCTTAGTCACTAATCACACAGTGTAAGTCTAATTTATAATCTAAAATGTAGATGGCAGCGGCGCCTTGTAAAATAGAGTGTCTGTCTTTCATGACTCAATTGAGAACAAACGAAAAGAAACAATTCATCAATGAAAATGTTTTCGATGTTGTATGGTAAAATTAGGCCCCAAACCACCACAGCACAACACAGTATGTGAAAAGAAAGAAAATATATTCGCAAAAGACACGATTTTGTAAAATCTTATAACTAGGTATTTTTATTTATGGTACAATTACAATATTAATAGATATATATACTGCACAGCGATTCGCTTAGCCAATACTATTTCGCTTTCCACAAGAAATGTCAATATCGTCTTTCAATGTCTCGAAAAGGTCGGTAGAGGTGCACACACACACAATTTACCACTTTCCACCAATTATGTCAGGAGTCCCATGACAGAGGAGTCTTGTCACGTGAACACGTAAAATTAAACACAAAGTTAAACTACACTATTAGTCCAGAATAGTCATAGACGTCTTGCGCTTATCTTAACAGCCTGTTGACGTTGCACGCCATAGAATAATTCATTGACTTTGCTCTCAAAACATTAACACTGCCACACAATTCCAGTCAATAAAAACAGTTTACATTTAGCGTTTCTTTCTGTT